TTTCTCAGAAAACTGTGCTAAACCTTTTTCAATCACACAACCCAACACGCGCAGATTAACCACTCGAATTCGGAAGGTTGCGGACGAATGCGACCTTACCGGCAGACGCGAGCTGAGACTGGCGACGAAAAATGCGTAACTTAGCCTTAATGCACTGAGACCCAAACGAGAAAGTAAGACTGACCGGCACTTGAGTTGTAAAACTGTGGTAGTGTCCTGAGGAAAATTCAGTTAATGTCAGCGTGGTTTTGTGCGGTAACTACCTCAGTGTTCTGGCGAGAGTTAGCTAGTTTCACTGCAGCTTGCACAGTACATGAACCAGTGTCTTAAGTAAGGCTCAGTTGGTTCATTGTGGATAGACATCAACCTCCTGGGGGCGAATCGTTTGTTAGACGCGCAGTCCAAGTCGCCTGATGGTGATGGTATGTTTGAGATGAGCCAGGCAAAATCTGCGCCAATTTGGCGGAGCTACGACAGCTCCTCAACAGAAAGTCTGTCTGGTGTGGATTTCACATCTTCGTAAACAGCCACTGGCGCGAGTAATTGATTTCATAACCTAGTAGCTAGCAGGGAAGATAAGTGCGCGGTGAGGTATCAAAATTTTTCACTGTGAATTTTGTTATTGGTGTTAGCCCAACCCACTGGCATGGCCCCCGGGGATTCTGTATGGCGCTCGGGGAGGTCATGTGGCTGCCGTTGAGAATGGTTGATCTAGACTCAGTCAAACCACCATCACACGCTCGAGGACAGTAAAGACCATCGTGACTTAGTTACTAGATGGGATGTAGTACCGCACACTATCTATCGACTTGCACGTTACTGTCATGCAGAGGAAAGGGTAGTGCCCTCAGTGGTCTCAACCAGACTGGCAACAATCGAGTTGCGGGTTCGAACCCCAGGGGTCAGTTAGGATGCGCACTGCTGAAACCGCCGTACAGTGCTTTTCCGGCGTGTGCTGGCTGTCTGACTAATTGTAGACGTGATGCATTTTTACCTATTGCAGTCAACGCCCCCTACTACTCATATGTAATTGAAAGCGTTTTTGTTAAGCCGGAACACTTTGCGTGGCATGTCCTGACATGGGAAGGCGGTCAGCGTGAAACTGTTCGCTCACCACAGAATATGCGTTAGGCCCTGCTTACCGAACTTCGAATGCGCGCAGAGCCTTTGCAAGGAAAGGTCTAATCTACTACGGATTGCTGTGGACCTGCAACGTTAGCTCACGTGCTTCAACAGTTTACCTAATTGTTAACAATTTCACTGCAAACAATCGCACAGCGACTCTGAAGAAGAGGCGGAGAAGTTGGAATACTGTGTTGAGAAGAGGTTTAATGCACCCTGGAAATCCCAATTTAGATAGCAATGACACCTAGGGCGTATCGATGAACGTAAAGTTATATCGCAAGAGTAAAAGTGGGTGACGCTCCGGAACATCTAAATGGTATGCCACAATATTTCATTCGAGTATTTACTATATGATGTTCCTTTTGGATTGTCCCGAAATTAATCGAATATCTTCTGCATTCCATTCGGGAATTTGCTGGAAGTTTCTTTTATATGGGTATGTACGGGGACACACTGGAGCAATAATCTAACGTTGTCCAATTATTCTACATTTTATCAATGGCTGCGGCATTGGCTAACGATCAACATGTTATTCGGGGATGCTTATTGTACGTGTACCTACAAGGGCGCAAGGCAATCGAAGCTTGTCGAAACATGCGTGGCGTACTAGGCACGAATGCTCCGAGTTACGATATAGTGGCATTTTGGTTCCGCCGATTCAATGTAGGCAACTACGATTTTTTCAACACCGGTGGTCAAGAAGGTAAGGCGGTGGACATTGACAGCAGCTTCTAAGACGCTCTAATGGAGAATCAGAGGCAAAGCTTCCGTGAAGCCCGTCACACCTTGACCTTCCAAAAACAACCGTTCATCGCCATCTGTGCCAATCCAGAATGTTTCCAAACCACGGACAACTTGTACCACACGAATTGACTGATGAGCAGCTTTTGAACCGTTATGCTATCGCACTTTCATTGCTCACCCAAAGACGCAATCATGGATGACTGAGCGATATTTTTATTGGAGACGAGAAGTGGGTGCTCCATATCGACCATAGCAGGATGCGTCAGTGGATCACAGCAGATGAAACGCCAGTACAAGTCGCGAAAGGCGAACTGCACGGCAAAACAGCGCTGTTGTCGGTCTGGTGGGATCGCGCGCTGTCATTTATTGGGAATTGCGGCCTGACAACTAGACGGTTACTGCCGATGCCTACTGTCAACAACTGCTAAAGATGGTCAATGAACACCGAAAAATACGTCCAACAGCGACCCAAATCATTCTGTTGCATGACAACGCACGTCCTCATGTGGCAAAGATGACGCGTCCCAAACTTCAGCAGTTCGGTATCGAAACTCGTATGCATCCATCATATAGCCCAGATCTTGCTCCTACTGATTATCACCTTTTCCGCTCGCTGCAAAATCACGTCAAAGACAAGAGATTCCGTGACCGCAACCATATGGAAACATCCTTTACTCAATACCTTGACAGCCAGCCCAGCTCGTTCTATGAGAGAGGCATCGACAACTTGCCACGGCGTTGGCAGTACGTCGTCGATAACAATGGATAATATGTTGATTAAATATTGTTGCTTGTTCGAAATAAATATTGATTAAAAGGTGTGCCAAAAATTCGATTGATTTCATAACAACCAAGTAGATCATGTTCTATTGGCATACGCATGGATATGGAGGGAGAAACCATGGAGTCACCAAATGAATGCCTGCGGATAAATCACAAAAGCGCTAAATTTCGACAGCGATAGCATCAGTACAATGAAATTTCTCTTTGATAGACACAAGGATAAGAGAAATCCAAATGCAGGAACACTTGGAGGCATGGCGTGAAGTGGAAATCAAAGGCCAGACAAGAGATTACTGCTCAGAGTCATTTGCTGAAAACTTAAACCTCTTAATAAATATTGGGAGCAAAGCAAAAACAGTTTCCGTTTTTAGCATTCCTCTGCTTCTTAGCGTACACGCTTTCCACCGTTCGTATATATATATATATATATATATATATATATATATATATATATATATATATATATATATATGACCTTCGACTGTAATGGTGAGCGGATTACTATGATGGTCGATTTTACCGAGCCTGCCTCTAAGTTGTGTCTGACAAGTCCCCTAGTTAGATCAGCATACTTCTTGAACTGATCGGAGCGCTTCCAGGCAAGCACCCTAGAAACCAGAGTACCGTTAACATCATTGGTAGATACAAACGCGATTGAGTCATGATATCAGCACTGAATGCCCTTCAGCCAGCGCTGGATGTCTTGACCTAGGGGTACTGCGACGCAGCCCTTATTCATACCCCGGTTGCTTATGATGGCTATATTAAATAGAATCACACAATTTTACACACTATTCTAATAAGAGCTAAGTTGAGTTCGACTTTGACTTCCGTGATGCCAACAAATGTGAAAAGGCAATCATTTTTTGACTTATGAATAAAGTGTTTCACGGCTGCCTCTGTCGATGTTCTTCGCTCGCGGTGTAGTCTTGCAATCACGTGCTTCTACACAAGTGCGTCGTTTAACACAGGTTACAGGGAATAGGGAAACTGGTGTCCAGTTCAAATAGAGTGCGACTCCCTTAGGCACTCCCATGGAACAGGTCACTAGCAGACATTTGTGTCTAACCCTCGCCCAATTTGGAAACATGCGACTGCCTTCGCGTTGTGAAGAAGAAATGATTCCTAATGAGTAGAAGGTGTTTTTAATGGCAATTGCAATGTTTTGGTTGCAGCTGCTCACAAGCTACATAGAACAACCTAGTCCGGAAAAGCACCAGACGCGTTTCCCCTACTGGGGATCGAACACGACCTCGAGAGGCAGATGCCAACCAGCCAGCAGCTTAAGCCACTGAGCCATGAGGGACGTCGGCTGGGCTACACAATTTGTAAGCTGATTGCGATATAGCACGACCTACCTTCCACTGCCACGTAGGTTGCTACCACAGCAGATAACAGTGGCTAACCACCGAAGATCATTACTTCTTCTTACTAGACGCTACGTCCCTAGCATATGAAACCAAGGGAGGCTACATTTTATATTGCTAAGGGGTAGGAGGATTTTTTAATTGTAATTGTCATGTTTTCGTCCCAGCTGTTTACAAGTTACATAGCATAGAAAATGATTAGTTAGTTTACAGGAAGTATGTTGATTCGACTGAGATGCGAGAAGATAGAGTATCGCGCCAAGTTTTAATGTCAACAGCACAATGTCCACTCAGTCCCTTTCGACAACAAACTTGGAATCAAACAACCCATAATTGCGCATATTAACTTGCAAGGTGGTCAGAATAGGAGGCAGGATTATCGCAATAGGCTTTGCTAATTCAAAAAGAGCAACACTTTTCTATTAGTGCATGTTTTCTCTCAGTCGATGCACAATGTGTTTCCAAAAACCCGCTGCATCATAAGGCCACTCTCCTGAATGACTAGCTGATAATGATACCGAACCTCAGTCAGTTCCCTGAGTGTGCGGTCAACCGGTACCGCAGTATTCCGCCTACTGAACGCGTATTCCACGGTGTAGCTGAAGCATCAACTAGTGTCCCTGAATTCGCGCATTCACAGCAAGTCGTTAGATATATCGTTAACTTAAACATTGCTGTTGGTTTCTTCCGGACAGACCAACTGGAAATAATGCTTGACCACATTATATGTGCCTATTGGCCTATTAAATCGAGACTTTTGCTAGCTGCCGTTATTTTTCAGTTGTGTTTCAATGCGTGACAGGTCACGGAATGGACCAATGCACCCAGAGCCAGTTTATCTGGCTGTGGTGCTGTGACAGACGGGCGAAACAATCCCGCGGCTTAGTTGCACACTAGCCTAATACCTTATTGATCCAAATGCTAAAGGTTCGGTCAAAGGGGATGTGTAAAGAGGAATTTCTACCTGTTTTAAAGACTTACCATTAGCATGAACGGACGATGACATCACAGGACGTACGTCGTCTGTAATGATGAAAAAGAATTGCAGATTTCACTTGATACGGTGAGTATGAGTAGACGATACTAAATGGGCGATAAGCGAGCAGATGTAGCAGGACAGAAGGCATTATACAATACCAGTGAAGCTAAAAGGAGACCACATATGAGATTTTTGCTCAGATGCAACGGAATCGGAAAGGGTTACAAGGGAAAGTGACGGAAAGCGCCCCATTCGCAGGTAGTAAACAGCGCTCCTAAGGATCAAACAGAAGAGGATGCAAGAATTATCCGTTGCAGCTGATAACTGCTAGACCTAAGCTGCCCAACATGTAGGCCTACAATGGAAAACTCCGTTAATCGGAACTTTTAGCTTCATCTGGTAGAAGCAGTTAAAGCTATTTTCGCGGCTGCACGGTCGTTACCCCGCCCAAATGACCGACGCGATCACGGAGAGTTGCACGCACAAGTCAGGCGTACATCGCCACTTGCTCCGTTCTCGCCGCACAACCCCAACGGACCACACCACCACCTGCTCTATGGCTTTCTGCTATGGGCCATTCTTTAGTCCTACGCTAGCATGTCACACCCTATGGCGAAGCAGCTAAAGTATACCTCGATTTTTATCTCAATCCAGTACGGTGTATCTTACGAAACTCTCACAACAAGTAGTCCAAGGAAGGCAAGTAAACAAGAGGAGGGGAACACGCTGGCGTCACTAATGTTTTGGCTCGGAAGTGGAATGATGTTCTCCGCCATCTATATTTTACACTTCCTGGATGAGCGAACTTCCATTGCGTAGTTCATGCACTTGAGACATCACCCGCCACATCAACAGCTGCCTCCTTCGCATCGAGTATAATGCATAATGAGCAGGCAGAACGATTCTACTATACAGTTTCAGTCTTTGAACTGCAGACTCACCATCACACCCGGTCACAAATCCCTGATAGTCATTTTGGGTATTCACCAAATAATGTGCTTAGTGTTTGCTTCGTGGTAGTTTGCATTGCCATTGCTAAACTATTTTACACACACTTAGACCTATTTGTCGATACGGAATGTCAGAGGATGGTCGGCCGATGATAAAACCCAACGTCTCTGGCATCATAATCTTAACTAGCACCGTTATTCCCGCGTTCGCCATTATCTGTCCAAACACTTCTTAGATTTACTTCAGATACCCCAATCTCGTTCGGGCAAGGTGTGCTATTCTTTTGCTGAGATATCCTGATAAGATGGTAAACCTTCGTAGTTTAACCGCTGCGAACTTAGTCGGAAATAACCAAGGGAATCAGTAAGAGTTTATGAACCCGCTTGAACTCGGAATTCTTCGTTTCTATACCAGCCCTTAATTCGCTTCACTTCAGTTGGCTCTGGAGTGATGTACACAGTGGTAAAACTGTGGGGCCCACCGCCTTCTCGGTAAGCTAACTTTCTTCAATTGTCATCTCATTCCAAGCACAAAAGACCTGCCTGGATTTCTCAAATACAAGATGATTTTACAAGGCCCCCCTCGTCAGTGCTCGTCGCAAGATGCAGCTACAGAGATAACGGCCCCCAAGAAGATCTTCGCTTTTGTGAAGCGTCGCCTAAGGCATACAGGTGACGTAGCAAAGGGCTCTGACAGACAGCCTTTAACCTTCTGCACCAGGCGGGCTTACGCGCTGCTGGTGCACTTCGCATTCGCATTTGTGAATGGCCGCATATTTGTACCCAGTTCGACTTGTGCAACCCCAGCCGAACTCGACAGCTTGGGTTGACGTGTGGGAGAAGTTCGCGATCTGCTAGACAGTCTTGATACGAAACCTGTCGGTACTGATGGGCCCCACTCGTTGATTCTTAAGTCCATATCGACCATCATCTCGCCTTCTGCAGTTACGCTGTTCAAAGGATGGCTGTCCGAGGATGCATTATAAAGAGAGTGGAGGTGCGCGGGAGTGAAGCCGATTCCGAAAGACAATGGTGCAAACAAAGTGGATGATTACCGGCGAATTTGTCCGGCCTCCGTTTTAGCCAAGGTGCTCAAAAAATCGTTAAGTATGGCCTGCTGCAGCAGCTGAAATTGTAAGACTTGAAGCCAGCACAGTTTCATGAATGGCAGGTCATGTATAACGAACTTTCTCATGACAAGAAATGAAGGTTTGCAGAAAGTGAACTAAGGGAAGTCTGTCGACGTGATCTAAGTTGAGTTCAGTAAAGCGTGCCGGAAGCTAAACCATGACGTTCTTCTACACAAACTGAGAATGTGTGCTGTTGTTGTCTCACTGCACTAGTGGATCAGCGACTTTTTTATTGAGCGGAAGTGCAGGTGCAGTTGGATGCTTACCTAATTGACTAGTATCCTTCCAATTGCATACCTCAAGGCACAGCTCTTGGGGCACATTTTGTTCCCGCTCCACATTTGTGAGGTACAGCTTCTTCGATCACTGTGTGCATTGTTTACCGACGACCAGAAGATTTGGAGAGTAAGTGGTGTTCCTGAGGACTGCGACGCATTCCGGTATGAAGCCTACCATCTATATGGCCTGCAAAGATCGAATATCCGATCAACCCAGTCAACTCGTTTTTTATGGGTCTGGGGGAGAGTAGAGATGCATACGTACACTCAAACCGGCCAACCGACATCCTATAGCTTACGTAGAAGTCCTAGGCGTACGCTCACGCTGCGGTGTGAAGCTCGTGGACAACATGAGCAGGCTACACGGAAGTGGATTGCGCGTGCCTTGGGCGCTCATGTGAAGCTTCTAAACTAGGTCTGAAGTGACCGCCACTCGCCTCTACGCTTCCATCACAAGACAGACGCTACAGTACGGCTCACCCACCCACTGCCCGATCATCTCTGATGAGGTGCCAAGGCTGGAACGTGTTCAGCATGTGGCTACCTGGACCACCCCCGCTTTATCGAGATGGAGATCCGAAGACCCATTCGGACGACTAGCGCTGTACACGCTGTCATATCATCGCTTCGGAGTGGAGCTCACCGTAACGTACATTTTGTTCAATTGCCACCACTAAGTCTCACCCAAGAGTATGGCGCAATACCCCGTCCCCTTGGTTGAATTCACAATTAAAAGTATTAACCTGTTGCTTCCTTACACATACTTCGGTTCTCGTCGCTATTTGTTTGGTGTTGTTCTGGACCATTGAATTCGCTCCACCACAGACCTGCAATCCCTTTTTGATTCACGCGTTAATGATCGCGGCCCTGTACTTGTTTGTTGCCAAGCATAACAGTTTCTCGCCTAAATTCCAATTCTCGCATCTATCTCACGGCTCACGTCCCTCTTATTCGACCAATGACCAAGCTTGACACACATGCTCGCTAACTACGCTGTTCACTTACATCTGATTCATAATGTGTCCCAACAGGACGAAACGGCCGTCTAGCGCTTTCCTGGATGTGTGGTGACTGTCTGCCTGAGTTTAACTGCGACAAATCTTTATAAAATACCCCATAAATTCCACTACTGCCTCCGTGTATCAGTTCGCCAGCGTCGTTATCATCGTTTCAGGTCAGACCATGTCCATGTCCCAAGTCCCTAAACAGATCCGTTTTTCCTTATTTGATCTGACCCCTGGCATTTGTTTCCCGACTGCTTCCTTGGTGAGATCAGCATGTCTTCTTATGTACGCGGTATTAAGGTCAATCCATTGCGTACTGTCGTAGCGGGTAGCTGTGTGCACACATTTTGTTGAGGATCTTGTAGAAGTATGTTTTGATTTAATAAATTTGTTTGTTTGTATATAGCACCTTAGTTCAACATTGATTGCGGCTTCTCGCTTGTCCGGCGGTCGTATACCAGTTCTGGCTCTTTGTCGGTTATTAACTCCTTCTTGGAAGTCGCGCACCAGTGTCCTACGGGTTGTCTAACTATCCTAAGCGCTTTTGACGCTTACACTCATAATGACGCACCGGAGATGTATCTGAGTAATTTCCCTGTGCTGAGGTCGCGCCATCACGTGCGTGCACCAAGCATTTACCGTGGGCACCGGTACAACCTAGTAGTATCCGACCTGATTCGGATATCTCACTCATTGCTTCAAGCCTTGAGTGGTCAAATACTGAAACACCTTGTCAGAGAAAACACATACAGTCCACACAGTGGACAGCGTGGACTATAAATTTTGTGAGATCATCGCACGTGAACAGAACGTCGCACAACCGACCTATATTGACGTGCACATGAATAAATGACGATATTCTGCCTACGTATCCGATATCATTACGATGAAAAACACAGGAGTATGTATTCTTGCTCCCTTTTTGCAGCAATCGCGCGAAAGAGAGCAGCTAAAACAAACGTGTTCCCTTCAATAAGGCCATAGTGGTTTTTGTGCATGGCCTGTAAACGGTACAACTCCACCATGACGCTACCCACCATTTAAACTACGATTAACTACAATGACGAAATTATTGTGGCCAGTCCATCTAGACTTAGCGACTTAACGGACACTTCACCATTATCCAGACTTAATTTGAACTGGACAGTCTTGTGACGTAATTGTAGTTCATCTCAGCCAGCATAGCATTGGAGGAGTCTAGCATAATGACATCCCAGTCCTGATTATATTCTAGCAACTCCGTTGATTTTGAGTTTCATTAAACCATTACGAACACTTTCACTCTTCAGCTTGCTGAGATCACGTAGCTCCTGAATGGTATTTTTAGAGGCGACGCGTGTGACTTCGTATTCTGCGGCTCGTTACACAGGCTATCCAGAGTTCAGAGCGGTCGTTACTAGCATTGCTCGCCTTGATGATTTCCAGTCGTTTATTCCCCATCCAGTTTACAATTGCACGCAGTCGAAGTCCCAGATCCACTCAGCGAATAATTCAAAGTAGACTTGCATGAAGTAATCGCCGATGTACCTGCTTTACAATCCTGTCATTTCTCCCATGAGATTTAAAACTGGCGACGAACCATCTGCATTCTACCTTGTGCTCACCAATGAGGAACTAATGATCGATGCAGCAAACATAGATGCACCGCTTGGCCGTAGAGATCATGCGACCTGCTCTTCCGTTATATCTGACACGCAGAATACATTCGTGAAAGTTTACGTCGTCACTACCTACGGAACGCAGCCTGACGTAGTCCAACGAATAAGCTGGACCTCCCTAGCTGAGTAGCACACCGACTTCGCCTAGAAATAATTTGTTACCTTGCATGGCTCTAAGAGAATTGGACTGGCGCTCTTATAAAGCCTGTCCAGGTGCGTACACATAGGATGTTTGCATAACTCAATGAAACCACTATATCCAATTGGTCCAGGAAAAAGACTGAAACAACAGGAATAAGCGATAAAATTCAGTGCTTATCTTAAGCTGTTCTACAGACACAACAACCTCCGCAGAGTGCAGCACGGAACCCAAGTTTTATGTGCGGCAGATAGTCTGGCTCTAACTACACATGATGCAACCAATGTGCTTCGGCAACAGTTTATCCGCACTTTCCAAAGTGCATCGCCACCTCATCCGTTCAAAACACAGCTCATCCCGGTCCCGGGGTTAAGCCACGTATTCTTCACTGCTGCAAACGTGACGAGAAAACTACTGTGCTTGAGTGCGCATAGCTTCCTGGTGTGGACAACATATGAACGAAGGAATTAAAAAAGACATACTGAATATCGACAGACCGGCAGCTCGGTTCTTTCAGCGAAGCCTTGAGGAAATGCAGTTTCAAAACATTTGGAAACATGGCATATTCACTCCTATTTACGAGTGGGAATCATGCGGAGCCCTCAAACTACCGTCCAAGCACATTCCTTCCAGTGTTATCTAAATTTATGAAAGGCATAATCGCAGACGCGCTCATAGAATACCTCCAAAGTAACAATATCATAGTGTCACAGCAGCATGGTTTTTGCGGAAATCGGTCCTGCATCAAAAACTTGTTACTAGTCCCAGCAAACTGTATGGATTCAGTGGACGCCGGATTAGGAGTCAACGTTGTCAACCATGACTTCTCCAAAGCATTTGATCTCTTGGACCACCGGATACTTCCTCACAATATCGAAGCTATGGAATTGGTGACCCTATATTAGGTAGGATCAGAAGCTTCCTCACTAAACGTCAGCTAAATGTGAGATTCCGCACATCCGTATTTGACACACTTGCAATGAAATGTAGCGTGCGTTAAGGATCGATACTGGGACCATGTTTATTTCTAGTGTCCAACAACGATCGTGCTAGGGTGCTTCAGTTAGGACTTCTTACTGTTTGCAGACGACGTCACGTTCTGGCATGACATCCATATGGCAATCTATCAATACGGCATTCATGCGGCAATACAAAGAGATATCGACGGAGCCCACACGTGATCATCCGAAAAGCAGCTCCAATTTAACTTGACGATGTGCAAAGTTCTGAGCATACACCATCAGCTTACCCATGGAAATAGAATGGGAGTGCAGCAAGTGCAACATGCTACGCAGGAAAGTGACCTCGAGGTAATCGTGCGGAAAGACCTCGACTGCTCGATACAGGCCAAAAAGTTATCGAGAAGAGCTAGTCGGCTTCCTGGTCTCCTACAGAGGGCGTTTGAGAAGTTCGAGCCATGAATCTTTCCACAAATGCTGGGCGCCTAAGTGAGGCCCACGTGGAGTACGCGATCCAGGTCTGGCGATCTTGGCGCAAACACGATGTTAATGCCATCGAAAAGCCACAACTTAGGGCGGCGAAAATCGTTATATTACTGTTTCACTTCTCCTGCTAATGGAGACTGCAAACCCTAGGCCTGCACAGCGGGGATTATCGGCGCCTGCGAGCAGACGTTATCATGGTGTACCAAATACCAGCCAATGCCCAGCACGCCTGTTATGGTCTGTCAGCCACAACATTAAGCAGAGAGTCCATTAGCTTAAACTGGCCAGGGACTGCAGTCATCCTGATGGCCGACTGAACGTCTTCGAATATCCAGAACCTGAAACACTCTTCCCTCTAACGTTAATCTTGTCACACCATAACGCTATTTTTTGAAAGTGATTGGACTACGCTATTCTCATGCACCATAACTGACATAGTCCATTTCCCTCGGAAGACGAAAGAGTGCAAATGAAACAGTGTACCCACCCGCCATCTCCGTTACGTAGCGGTGAGGAGACCGGCAGATGTGTTCAGGTGAATATTATACCCGGATTTTCTCTCTTTCCTCTCATTATTAATCTTTATTGTATGCTACTCACACCGGTTATTCTACGGGAGTTGTCAAGCAATCGCTTTTGTAATGGTTACAAACCATTGTCTATGAAATGCTTGTGTCCACTGACCTGGGTGCACCGTTTGTTCACTGACACTTGGAAGGTAGTTACCTTGCCGAAACTAACGACAAGCTTCTTGAGCAGTAAGCGAAACTCGTCAGGGACTGTTCGCTCGATCCAATTAGAAATTTGTAATTACTCTGGGCAGCGCTTCATTGAATCCCAGTCAGTTGACTGTATGTGCCTTCCGTTCACCCAATCGGTCAGCGATCACCGCACCCGGTGGCATCACCCTAAGTGCGTTAAAAAGTAAGTGCTGTTCGTTTGGCACTGTCCGGTTCAGCTCGCACCTCCTTTGTCTGGAACCAAGGTGCAAGCTGCATTTGCTGAGACGAAACGTTTCAGTGTTGCCTGTACGGCCAGCTTGCGTCGTTGGCACCTTACTCTCACCTCGTCGATTCTGGCTGCCAAATCAACTAACAACTGTCAGGCCGCCGCAAGGGTGCTATCTGTCTTAGGAGCACTTATGATCTTATCCTGAGGGTTCTGATACAATTGTGTTTTTACTGTATCTGGGTCCCGGTCAGACAGGATTACAGGGAAGATTACAGAAAGAGTGTATTGATTGTTTCGACGTTCACCAACCTCACAAGAGCCAAGAAGCCTTAGGGCGAAAACGCGAACTTTCATTGGAATAAAGCTGTCAACTACTGTGAGCGTCCCCATGTAGTGAATAGGGCGTCTTCACGACAGTGGCAACTGCGAATTACTCCCATATACTTTGTGATGGCAAGAACAAGCATTTGCAGCGGCGGTGTTGGATGACGTGCTGTTTTCGATGGACCGGGGATTTTCTTGTAAAATGACACCTAAGGCGCATGAATGCACTGATATGTGGCGGGTGATATTTGTCACAAAATAAAGCCATCGTCCTCGTCTTTCTTGGTGACACTATTAGCCAGAAAACAAAGTCCAACCGTGGGGTTTTGCCTTGGGCGTCGGGAGCGTGGGGCCCCATGACATGGTATATCGCAAAGCGAAGGACATATTCAGTTATCGGCCCACATTAGGTGTGAATCCCATATATCGCTTTTCCATGGATAAATGCTCGGGATAGTCGCAACCCGGGATAACCCCTTAAGAAAGAGAAATGGATAATTAATGGTCGTGGGCTGAGAAATTTAGGAATACCACATCATAAAGCGTTAACAAAGTGTCCACCATATAAAACGAATCAATAGTAAGTCTTCAAGTATTGAATATTAGGAGGTGAGCAAACTGCAACACTACGCTGAATGAAATCAACTGAGAAGACAGAACATAGTAGTTGCAGCAACAAGCACGTATGTTTTCACAATGGGCTGTACGGTTTGCTTATTACTATGACTGTTGACATGACATGATGCCTGAATAACTTGCGCTTGTGTGACTGAGCACAGGTCCGCGATATGCACCCAGTTGTAAACTGCTGATGTAAGGTGCAGAGGCGTGAATCAATTCATCAATCTTGGCTTCCCTGTGCACTGTCCCCAACCTGTCAGTTAGTTCACAGTAAAATGCAAAAATCAGAGCAAGGTCGGATGTTGCGTAGAGTCGACTATACAAAAGGATGAGACATATTAACGCCTGAGACGCGATCCCATAAAACAATGCATAGAATGAGTTTCAAATTCGTAGTAATAGTTGTACTATTAACTAAAATCATGGTTATAAGTATTTCAGTTGTTTACATAATTCCTTTAATAGCCACATCACATTTAGTGCGCCCGTAAAATACTGGGACGAATCGCTAAAATTTTACTTGACATCCCCTACCCATCAGTAAACACATATATTACAAATATCATCCCATATGTTTAACGCTCGTAATGTACAATGACCGAAAAAATCTTCATGCTTATCTAACTTTATTTCTTACCTTTTATGCGTAGTTACCATTAAGTGATAATCCAAACAAATCCAGATGTTCTTTGCAACACTGCACAAAATTTACTGAACCCTGGCGGTTGGTATCGGCTTAGCTACTTAGGGAATTATTAATAGCGGAACCTGCGAGTCCGTTCAGCTATTCACGAGCCATACTTGAAGAAATGCGATCGATGAGCAAACTTTTTTCGGCCCACTGCTTTAATTGTTTACCACCCAGACAAGCCATCTGTATTTTCCGCTGCAACACACCATGTGAGCAAATGTATCCACTGTCAAAAACAACCTTATCCATTTCTCTTAGGTGTGTTTAGTAGTTACAACACGAACATTTTATCAGATGTGAAATGAAGACCCACCCAAGCTTGTGTAGGATAACAATTCGGCGGCGTTCACTCGAGGGGTACTCACTGTTGCTTGGGGAGCACCGTGGAATTGTTGATCGACAGGGGTGTATGTGAGGTGCTGAGCTACGGGAGAAAGAGAGAGATGTGGTCAGATTCGCGAAAACAGGATGATGTCACAGAGATGGCCTAAAGTATATTTTATCAAGACGCACGTATCACGTGCGTACATATCCGTCAACAAGCCGCAGCACTGAACAACTCATTTAGCGAAGCAGTAATGAGCAGTCCATGTGACAATGACTTCCTTGGAACAAAAACCACGGTGATCAAATTGCCACGATGCTTAGGGTGAATTGTGGCTAGTTCGGTACACTCGACAACGATATTGCTCCATTTACTAGTTGTAACCTTAGATACATTTTATTCAGGTTTTTGCCTCCACCAGGCAAACAAAATGCACTTTTGACAAAAATACTCAAAGTTGACACTTCTACAGTGACCCTGAAAATCGCAAAACATTTTACATTTTACAGTGATTTTCCTCTGAAAATTTTTTTCAGTATTTATTGCAACCAGCTCATTTTTTTCGTTCGCTGCAAATTCTCACCCAGGAGAAATTTTTCAGTGTACCTACGTGTTGTTAGGCTTTCAGTGTCGCATGTTAACTAATTGTTTAAGGAATACTTCCCATTTTATTTAGGGCGCTCGACTTATGTCATTTGCTAGATTTTCTTTCGCTTAGCTGTCATTTTTTTATTTTTCGCAGTGACAATCATATTAGAACCCGTTGTTTATCTGTCCTGATGCTACCAGTTTTTATTACAACTGACTGGATCCCAGTTTGGATGCGACCAGACTAGGAGGTTCATGTAGGTTAAGTGAGCGTCGACATGTTAAGCGTGCCTTATTCGTCGTCTCCACTTACGATGCTGCAGACTGCAGCCCGGATGCGATCAAGGAATGCTTTCACCAACAACCACAAGACCTGCGTTCCTCTAAGTAGTCTTATATTGTCATTCTTGCCGGAGATTCCAAAGCCCCAGTGGCCACATGCCACCAAGGGATCACCATCTTGGGGTAGTTATGGTCTCGGAAGTAGTCGCTTGGACATTGGAGACATACTACAGCTTGGATCTTATTTCTTCCGGGCACCAGTTTTCGACACGCGAAAAGACAGACTGCTGCCTGACGCCCTCCTTCCCAAACGCAAGTATGGTCCAATCTTGACCACACAGAAAAAAGCTACAAATGGCGCGGAAGCGTAACAGACAGCCGATCGTACTGGTCAATTAGTCTGGACTCCGATCACGCATTGATTCGTTCTAAGGTTTGCATGCTATTCGGAGGATCACCCAAGAGTACAAACTACCCGTCGAACAACGAAAATCTCCAAGAATCTACTATGTTATCCAAGTACCAAGATTCTCTGTCGACACCGTTTTCTTCAGTTTTTGACGATGATTTGAATTCACAATGGGTGCGCATCTGAGATGCATTGATAGTTGTGGTCACCTGTCACTCGCCGAAAATCTGGATCACCGCTGTCTCCTTGTCGCTGGCTGACACACCGCTCGGTCTCGGCCGACACCAGATGTAGTGACGAACGTGGAGGTTTGCAAAACGAGCGTGAAGCCTAGTGGTGTGAAGGCACTAGAGAGATGGAACATGATGGTCTCTCTGGTAATAGCAGAAAACTTCCATCTCATCCGAGTCACTGGTGTAAGTGAAATAATCTGTGAAGAGGATGGTTCACTAACCACTAATTTTCGACGGCAGTTGGCACGATGGGCTGAAAATTTTGGCCCACAGTTTTGCTAGCCACTAGCCCCAGCTGTTTCCACTGGAGCGCAAACTGATAATGAGTGGTTTGTCTCCGCTGTTCCTCCCTCTTCCCAGAAAATCTAGCAGGAGCTCCGTCTACTGACGCGTCATAAAGCAAATGACCCTAATGGGGTATCTCTAGCTTTCCTTAAAGATAGTGGCCATTCACTGCTGCAAGAACTCACCTCTTTGTTCACAGAACTCTGATCGAGAGATGAGGTTCCATCATCATGCTTGGAGCCAATTCTCGTCTCCATTTCCATAAAGGACCTACGCACAATTTGCTCCAACTACAGATAAGTTTGGTTCCCGTCGTCTGCAAGCTTCTGGTGTCCATCATACTTCGCAGGCTATCTCCAATGCGTGAATCGCTACAGCGGGAAGAACAGGCTGGGTTCCGCACTGGCCGCGGCTGCATCGATCAAATTTCCACACAACGTCAGACCTTCGAGCTCCGCATGCGTACAAAAAACCAACGACTGTCGTGTTCCTGGAAATCCGTGCTGCCCTTGTTTCTGTGGGCAGGACCGGATTGTGGCACTATTGGTTGAGGAATGGCGTCTTTAGAAGTTCGTTTTCGTACTGAGTGCTGTGTACGGTCTGACTCCGGGCAGAGTTATGGCAAATGGCAACCTTTCGTTTTCCTATGTTGCCACCAGTTGAGTTCGACAAGGATACCGTTTCTCTCTATTCCTATACAATTTTTTCATTGAGGATGTCCCCAGAAATCCTCTAAAAGACTCGTTGAATGCTGGCTCTGAGCTCCTCTCAAGTAGTCAATAAGTTGACCTGGACTACGCTAATGATACCATCTGGCTGGGTGAAGATCACAGGCCGTGCAACATGCACTTAACCCCTTGGCGAGTTAAGTGTCACCATCCAAATGCAAAGCACTTTTGCAAGGCTTTCAGATGCCTATACTTTCTCTCACTCTCAGTTGCGAGACACCGGAGGTTGTGGAGTTTTCCGTCCACCTAAGAAGTTGCATCCCTGCTGGTAAGATTTCGATGCGTATCTCAAGAGCTCATCAAACTGAGGCGCTTGTGGCACCGCCATCACACCTGTCTCTCCATCAAAGGGCGGGTTTATTGTGCGACTGCCCATTTTGCGAGACGTGACCTATTTGAACCTTTGACCTGCGCCGGCTCTCTTCGAGCACCGTTACTTGCGATCCACTGCCGTGTGTGGTGGCTGTACCACATAAGCATTGAGGAAGTTAGACAGCGCATATTGTGGAGAGACAGCCACTCGCTCGAGGAGGTTGCCTCGCTGCGCCTATTGCGGCTGTTTGATCACGTATTGCGCATGCCCGCTCAGAGGCTTCCGCGTCGTGCGATGATCGCGGTTACTGGGCGGGGCTGTTGGAGTTGGCGAGGTGTAGGGGTGTGAAAAAGCTAAGGAAGCAGTTGGTCTTGGTCAGTTGCTCTCGTCCCTCAGGTTGGGGTCCTAGAGATACGGAGCGCCATTGGCCAGAGACACTGAAAGTTATGGCTCAAGACCGACATCAGTGGCGGACGTGTGTCTGCAGGTTCCCTCCAATAATAAAATAAACTTACAAAAAACGAAACTGTGAGTAGAAAGCTGGACAAAAAGGTTGTCTTTTTTCTTCTCTTATTGTGATCCTGTTTTTGTATTCCACTCTGATTCCGATGGCATAAAATCTGTAACACAGATTGTGATTAACTAATAATAATAATAATAATAATAATAATAATATAACAGGACCTCCTGGATGTAATGAAATGAGGCAGATCGGGACAGTAGTGAAAATATGAAACATATGCGTTTACCAGGGGTTTCATAAGAGCTTTGAAAGTGCATTCTTAATACGGATGCCGATTAGTATCTCAACGTACACAACTTGTTACATGACTTCGGAATCATTAGCGAAATGACCTCTACTTGCTCTATTCATGAATCAGCATGAAAGTACTATACATACTAATCAGGCCCTTCAACATGTCAGTTTCCCGCACACAGTAATTTCTCTTACTTTGTTTACTTAAGTAGATTGCTTTTACCAACTAAGGATGTCGGTTTATCATTCCGCAGGCGAACAAGGCATTTTATGTCATTCCAAACGTGGGCAACTTTTGCACCCTAGATCTATTAAATATGATTGATGTACTGTGCATAAGGCATTAAAAGCCAACCACATGTATTTTAATGATGGCCATTGTAAGCGGACAAATAGGAGGTATGTTTGAGGAGGAAGTATTGCGTAGTCGCATGAAAGTCAAAACATACTCTGATCCCTACAATGCATTTTGGAAGCCAGGGTGCGTTGCAAATAAACAGTTCCATGCCGATACAGTGCTTCAGTTGAGGATAAGTTGTGAGATAATGGCGACAGGTTAAAAGATAATAAAATAGTGACATACCTTGTAATCTGCTTCGCAAATGTTAATAGACTTCGCATAATAATCAGTCCGTATCTTTAACAATTATAAAGACGAATATCTGCAGTCACAAGATGTAGCGTTGCCGATTTCATTCAGCGGCCAAGCAAGAGCATCAAGTGCAGCTACTCTTAATGCGGTTGGCTTGCCGAACAACCTCCACGTGATGCTAGCTGAGCGTTTCGAGATTATACCGTTCTTGCCAACGGTTCGACGGCAGGGCTCCAAGAAGTGGTAGGTTTCCACCTGGCAGGCCACAAATGTCTGTTTAACAACATTGTGACGTGGCGGTTATCACTCGCCACTAAATAAAGTCTATACCATTGTTTTACACTGGTGCAACATTGTACATCCAGCAAGCCGATGCTGAAGCTGTGGGGAGAATTGGGCCAAGTTTTGCAAGCGTCCAAAGGAAATACGTATGAATTGAGTAATCGGTCTCCTGCTCCCAATGAGCGCGATTTCCTGAATTCGCTCCGCTGCCTTGCAGGCAGACGATTCAGCCTAAGGCTGAAGGTGGTATCCCCTAAGACAACTCACTACCTCGGATTGAGCATCTAGGAACTATCATGCCTGCTAACGAAACCATGGATCTCTCATCTACTTCTACTCTGTCGTTCTCCAACGCTCCTAAGCTCCTGGCTGCTGAGGCACCGCCATTACACACCAATCCTATCTTCCTCAATAATTCCTTCGAATCTACCTCTGATGACATGCCCATGTCCTAAGAGTTCGACCAGTGACCCTCCTTCGGCCCCGATTTCCATTTCGAATGACAGCCTTCAAGGTTAGAACCCTTATGCAAATCGGATAACATCGGTCCCTCGCTATTGAAATATGTTGTCTTTCTCAGACTCCGTTACAGGACTCCAGCACCGTAGTTATTTGGTCGTATTCTGCTGA